AAGGATCTGTACTCATTTTACAGAATAACTTTCTGGAAAGAGACTGGGAGAACTTCATACATGGATATTTTTCTTATACATTTCCCTTTCCACGTATTAAATTTCTAAACGTGACGCGAATCTTTTTCGAACAGTGTTTGTATGTGACATGTGCGTTTACGGCAGTTGATTCAAACCGCGAGTGTCCTCGCGGCTTGCATTTCCGTTTATTGGATTCCGTTGCTTGTCGGCGGCGGCGGCGGTGGCGCCGGCGGCGGTGGGCGACGCCCGTCGCGTAGCGGTGCAGCGCGCCGCGGAAACGCCGGCGGCGGCCGGGGCTTAATTAAAACCGGTCTTGGCGCCCGCGCGCTCCGCAACGCTGGCGCTTGTGCGTGCGGCGAACCGTCGCCGGCGACGCGAAGCGCTTCACAGACACGCCACCGCAGCGCGGCGCGGCGCGGCGCGGCCCGGCCCGGGCCCTCCCGGCGGCGCCCCGGCTCCCGCGACGCCGGCCCGGAGAGCGAGAATTTTTTTCGCGGTAACGGCACTTCACGTGAAGAAGGGTCTTCGCGAAACGCAGTGAGTTGCGTGTTTGCAGGTGGGATGTTTACACAGAGTAGTTGTTGAGCTAAGCTGGTAAAGAATGTAGAATATTGACCGTCCCATTAGTACTTCCGGAGGGCGCACGGAAACGTCTTGCCATTGGTTCGAATCCAGTGCCTACCGTGTTGTCATGAAATTCTACTCGTATAACCTAAAAAAATGAGTTTACAATAACAAAAAAAGTGCTATGAAGGGAGAACACATTTTTAAACTACTTTCTAGAAGCTCAAGTACCTTATCTGTTAGGAAAAAGGAATGACAATTCACTGTTTTTATATGTGGTGTAGTTCTCGTTTGAGAAATTGATATGATTGGACGAGAAGACGCTTGGCTCCAGGAGATATCGCTCTTTCCGGAGCTTGGGCGTGCATGCCTTTTTTTCTCTTGCGGGCCAATCAGCGCGCGCGGGTCTCAGACCGGAAGTCACGTCACCAGCTGCCCGCCTCGAATTCGCGACCGCC